ATAGATAGATAGATAGATAGATAGATAGATAGATAGATAGATAGATAATCAGTGATGGATAAACTGAAGGTAGTTCCAAATCCCACACTTGGGACTGAAACAAAAACCTGTTTATAAAACATAACTGAGTTTTAAAAGAAACCAAAACTTCCACTATAGATGTGGAGTTGGTAAAAATCTTTTCCCATTCTGTAGGTTGCTGTTTTGTCCTATTGAGTGTCCTTTCCCTTACAGAAACTTTAAAGTTTAAAGTTTCATGAGGTACCATTTATTAATTGTTGATCTTAATGCCTATGCTATTGATGTTCTGTTTAGAAAGTCATCTCCTATGCCAATGTCTTCAAAGCTGTTCCTCACTTTCTCTTCTATCAGGTTCAGTGTATCTACGATTATGTTGACATCACCAATCCATTTGAAGGTGAGATTTTACAGAGTGTTCAGTGTGGTTCTATTTGCATTCTTCTACATGCAGATAGCCAGTTAGACCAATACCATTTGTTGAAAATGCTTTCTTTTATCCAGTGTGTATTTCTGGCTTCTTTTGTAAAAAATCAAGTGTCCATTGGTGTGTAGATTTATGTCCAGGTCTTCAAATCAACTACATAGATGATTGTGTCTTTTTATGCTTATACCATGCATATATATACATAGATATGTATAGATATGGATAGAAATAGCTAGATATATGTATCAGTTTTATTATATTATATAGTTCTGCCATGCAAATTGAAATCCAGGAGAATGTGTTACCTCTAGAAGTTTGTTTCTTATTCTGTAGGACTGGTTTTTTGATAGATATTGTTTAAATTCAGTTTTGTCATGGAATACCTTGTTTTCTCTATCTATGGTGATTAAAAGTTTTGCTAGATATACTAGTCTGGGCTGGCATCTATGGTCTCTTTAGGGTCTGCCTAGGCCCTTCTGGCTTCGAAAGTCTTTGTTGAAAAGTCAGGTATAATAATAATAGGCCTGGCTTTATATGTTACTTGGCCCTTATCCTTTGTGGCTTTTAATATTCTCTCTTTATTCTGTACATTTACTGTTTGGATTATTGTGCCAAGGGGACTTTCTCTTCTGTCCAGTTTACTTGATGTTCTGTATGCTTTTTTTTTTTTTTTTTACTTTGGTAAGCATCCTTCTTTAGGTTATGGAAATTTTCTTCTATGATTTTTTTTGAAAATATTTTCTGGGCCTTTGACCTGGGTTTCTTCCCTTTCCTGTCTTCCTATTATTCTTAGGTTCGGTTTCCTCATAGTGTCCTAGATTTCCTGGATGTCTTGTGCTAGGAGTATTTTTAGATTAAGCATTATCATTGACAAACATATCCATTTCTTCTCTCTTCCTTGTCTTCCTTGCCTTGTCTTCAGTGCCTGAGATTCTCCCTTCCATCTCTTGTATCTTGTTGGTGAATATTGCTTCTGTGTTTCTTGTTTGAGTTCTTAAATTTTCATTTCTAGATTTCCCTTAATTTGGGTTTTCTTTATTGACTATTTCTACTTTCAGGTCTTGAATATTTTCTTCATTTTTTTTCCACTGCTTGTGTTTTCATAGACTTCTTTAAGGGATTTGTTCATTTCCTCTTTAAGGACCTCTATCATGTTCACAAAGGCAGTTTTAATGTCTTCTTCTTGTGCTACAGCCATGTTGGAAAACTCAGGGCCTGCTGCAATACGGTTGCTGAGCTCTAGTGCATATGTATAGGCATCTGGGATTGGGAAGAGTGTAATTCTAGGTGCTGATATCTGGTCTTGTCTTTGTTGTTGAGTATTTTATTCCCTGATTTCTGTTTCCACTCTGGGTCTTAGAGAGTGTTGTGGCTTTGTGTTGCCTGGTAGGAATATCTTCTGGGGACCTGATAAGTGTGGATAAAGGTGGTAAGAGGTAAAAAGTGTTTCTAAGTATTGAGACCTGACACTTAAGAATGGGGATGGCCTAGGAATAGCAGAGGAGCTTCACAATAGGGAAGAAAGCAGTGTGTTCCACCAGGATTTTCTTAGTTAGTCGAGTGGAAATGGGAGCAGTGAATGAGAAGAAGCCACAGCCAGAAGGTCTGCTGTTAGTATTTAGGCAGCCCGTTTCTGGGTTGCCTACAACCTATGATGTCATCATGTGTTGCCAGCGAGGTAGCCACACCTGAGAGGAGTGGTTATGTTGCTCCTTAAAAGGACCAACCTGCCACTTTGTCTCTCTCTTGCCCCCTCTTACCTTCTTGCCCTCTCCTGTTTCTCTGTTGGGGCACGCTCCTTTCCCCTTATCATGTCTTACTCTCTCCTCTCTCTTTTTTCATCTCCATCCAATAAACCTCTTTTATATAAAATCTGTTGTGAGCATCATCATTTCATTAGTCCTAACATTGGTGCATTGGCTGGGAAGGGCTCTCCTGGTAGTACCTGATCTTCCTCTGAGGCCTGGTAAGGCTGATCCTCCTGCAGGGGGAGGGGATCAAAGAGCCAGCCACTGAGTTCATGTCAGAGACAGTCCCTGTTCCCATCACTAGGGAACCCACTTGGAGATTGAGCTGCCACGGGCTACATTTGTGCAGGGGTTCTAGGTTGTCTCTATGCATGGTTCTTGGTTGGAATATCAGTCTCAAAAAAGACTCCTGTGCCCAGATTTTTGCTTTTGCTGCTCTCCTTGTGGAGATCCTGGCCCCTTCAGGTCTTTCTGTCTCCCCCTTCTTTCATAAGATTCCCTGCACTCTGCCCAAAGTTTGGCTATAAGTTTCAGCATCTGCTTTCATACCCTGCTGGGTAGAATCCTTCAGAGGTCGTCTGTAGTAGGCTCCTATCCTGTTCCCTGTTTTTTTCCCTCTTCTGATGTCTGTTCTGTTTGCCTTTCTAAGTGAAGATTGATCATCTTACCCAGGGTGCTCCTTCTTGCTTAGCTTCTTTAGGTGTACAGATTTTAGTAGGTTTATCCTATATTATAAATCTAACCCACTTATAAGTGAGTATATATCATGTGTGTCTTTCTGTGTCTGGGATACCTCACTCAGGATGATCTTTTCCAGTTCCCACCAATTGCCTGCAAATTTCATGATTTCCTTGTTTTTAATTGCTGAGTAGTATTCCATTGTGTAAATGTACCACAATTTCTGTATCCTTCCTCAGCTGAGGGACACCTGGGTTGTTTCCTGATTCTTTTTCTATGCAAGTACCATGCAGTTTTCATTATTATTGCTCTGTAGTATAGTTTGAGAATAAGGATGGAGATACCTCCAGACAATCTGTTGTTATACAGGATTGTTCTAGCAATTCTGTTTGTTTGTTTGTTTTTCAATATGAAATTGAGAATTGTTCTTTCAAGTTCTGTAAACAATTGTCAACTTCTGATATTCTTGTTTCCATCTCCGTAGTGCTGTACCACCATACCCTTGTTTATTGCTATGATTTGGGATACATCCCCATGGTTTCCTGAATACTGGTCAAGAACCATAATAATCTACTCCCACAGGCCCTAAAGATAAGTTTATCATCAACTTTATACTTTAATTTTGCTGGAAACAAACAAATTTTATTTCAAACAACAGTCAAACAGAAACAGAATAAGTGAACTTACTTCAAAAACAGCATGAACATGGTTAAATGACTGGAGGAAGACCCCATGGCAGTGGGGGCATACCAGTCCAGTCCACTTGAGGCTTTATGACAGGCTGAGCTTGTCAAAGAAGTTCTCAGCCAAGTTCTGCTCCAGAGCCCCCATCTGATGCAGGTTATCCAAGTAGTAGCATATCTCCTTCAGAACTTGGACCTGCGCATCCAGACAGTGTTGCTCCAGGAAATGGCAGAGACAGGCGTCGTTTTCTGCTTTGGCCAATTCATGCAGGTTCAGCAGGCTCTTCTGGATGACTTTCTCCAAGTGCAAGGCACACTCCAAGGCCTGAACGGCCCCATGCCAACTCTCACCTTCTGGTCTCCCGATTTCATGAGAGACAACGCGGCCTCCACGCTCTTTCTGAAGGTACATGAACATCTCGGCACCAGCCTTGCAGTTGTGTGACTTGCTCAAGAAGAAATGCTTTAAGTTCCCCAGGGCCACATCATCACGGTCAAAGTAGAAGGCCATCGACTCGTACACATTCGAGGCATAGAGCTGCAGCTGGATATGGGCGTTGACTGCATCCTCGCAGTCAAGGTCAGAGTTCTGTTGCACTTGAGAGGACGCTTCAGCCATGGTGAGCAATTGAACACCAAAACCGTCTCAGAAGGTCTCCACCTGCTCAGAGTGGCAGGGCGCGTGCAAACGGCACAGAACCATTGTCCTAAAGTCCCTCAGAAGAGAAGAAGAACACCACAAGAGCACAGCCGGTAAACTTCAGAGCGCACGAGAAATGAGTGTTGGCGCCTACTGATGACGTCACATCAGCACCAGGACATAGATTCAGCAGGGAGGAAGTCAGGAGTGTTGATTTTCATAGCAACGGGGCCTAGCAACGAGGACTACTGGGCAATGATGAATCTACACAGTATGTTTTAAAGGACTCTATGAATAAACTCTAAAGTTTTAGACTAAATCCTCTGGATGCTTTATAAAGCAATTTCTCTGAAAATCTTCACAATGTTATTTTGCTCAACACTCTGATGTTCGCTTATTCCCTCTTCCCCCCACCTCCCGAGATAGGGTTTTTCTGTGAAGCCCTGGCAGCCCTAGATTCACTTTGTAGACCAGGCTGGCCTCGAACTCACAGAGATCCTCCTGCCTCTGACTCCCGGGTACTGGGATTACAGACATGCACCACCATGCCTAGCTTGCTATTTGCTTTCTTTAGGTAAATTTAATATCATAAACCTTTATTTGAATGACAGCTCTTATCACTGACTTCCACTAGTATTCACCTGACCCTATGAGGACAAGGACAAAAGTCAGATTGAAGAATTATCAGCGTTCAGTGCCATAAGTAAATCAGGCAACTGTGTGATGATCTTCACATCTATATAGAATTTTAAAATAGTTTTTCCATAAGAAAAGTGAATGTTTTTTTTTGTTTTGTTTTGTTTTGTTTTTTTTTCATTAACGTGGAGGGTAGCTTAGAAAACAAAAACTTCAATGCCTTTCTATGGGTACTATAATTATTCAAGGAGATTCATCACAGTCTAACATTCTTTCTGCTGGCACTGCTATGAAATCAGCCTTTTTTGTCATTAAATTAATGAATGAAGTTAGTGGAATTAGCTTTAAGTATTTTTGTCTTTACTATGAATATACGTGCAAGTATTACACTGAGTGATCTTTTAAGATAAGGCTAACATTGTACTTAGTTCATTAATTACAACTAAAACAAATGATCTGTTATTTCTTTAACTAGGCTATCATCCAATTGGTCAATACAGTATTTTTTAAACAACGTGGATTTATTGTCAATATTTATAATAGAACACTTAAAAAGCCATTTTTAGTCCACATTAAGTTGCTTGTTCCTTTTCACTCAAAGCATACAAAAGTCAAAAATGTAAAAATACCTGTTAATCTGATCAATAATGTGAAGATTAAGCACTCAGTTGGTACATGAAATGTCATTTTGTCAAGCAGCACATTTTTATAACTCAGAAATAGGTTATGAGGGCAGCCAAAAGACCAAATTCAGGAGTAGTCCATGTTTATCTTCTAAAATCTTCATTGACCAAAATTTAAAATCAAACAGCCTTCATTCTGTAATACTTACTTTAATATTAAAAATTTTAAGGTATGTTTTTCGCGAAATACTTTCAGGAATACCTATATTGCCCACACACCAATTCTGGCATTGCATCTGATACATCTGATCCTTTTCATCGTAACTATGAAGGTAGCCAGGTTTCTTGTATTCAATATTTATATGGTCAAAAAAGTTTAGTTACTATCAGTTCACTCATCTATAAGCCAAGTGTGCTCTTCAGATAGCCCATTAAATTTTTAACTCACAAACAGATTAATGCATTGATGTGGTCAGATCACTCATGATCCATTTACCTCCCAAATTTCCCATTTTTTAACATTGATACATTACAGACCAAGCCTTAAACATATGCACATTTGGGGAATAGTTAAAATCCAAATCATGATATGAGGAGATATTTCAGCAGATACATTACTTTATGGGTCATTGTGAGAAACTGAGTTCAAACCCCCAGAACCCATGTAAGACTGAATTGCTGTAACAGAGTTTGTAGTGTTCCTATGTGGATATCAGGAGAATGCCTAGAAGCTCATGGTCAAGCTAGCTTGGCATATGCAAAAGCAAACAATAAAAAGACACTGCCTCAAAAAGGTAGAAGGTGGGGACCAAAACCAGAGGCTGTCTGACCTCCACAAACCCACCATGGCAAACACCCTTACTTACACACATGAATGCATGTACACACTCATATACACAACAACACACGCACACACTCACACACAGGCGTGTGAGCACACACACACACACACACACACACACACACACACACACACATGCAAACACACAATTTAAAAAAAAATAAAATCCAAATAGTGAAAGGTCAGAAATGTTGGGTCATAAGATAAGTACACCATTTTCCTAGAAATTGCCAAATGTTAACCAAAATGGACAACTAATAACGGAGCATTTGAGTTACTTTATATCCACATCAATTTGTGTAAATCTGGTTGATGTAAAGCAGTATCTTACAGCTAGCTGCTAAAAATATCGACTAACTAATTGCTTCTTTCTGCCTTTTCACTGGTTTTGATTGCATGTTTTTATATATATTTGTAGTAACTTTTAATATAGTTTTATAACTAACCTAGGTGGCTATATGTGTTGTAATATTCTCATTCTTGCCTTGTTGTTTCTGTGGTGTCTTTTGATATGTAAATCTTTGAATTTTTTGTAGTTAAATTTACCAGTCTATTCTGTCACGCTCCACATGTCAACATATATAATCCTTTAAGAACTTCTTTTTGGCCACAAATCACAAAGAGAATGTAAAAGAATGAATATCTTCTAGGTGACTTCCAGACCTCAGCAAATTTTATTTTTACACATTTAGAAGTCATAATGGATAAAATTGTATTGACATATGGTATGAGATATAGAGCCACTGTTTCTGATGTTGCTAAGCAACTGCCAGATGGTATCTATTGGACTGGTCATCCTTTCTATATTTATCTGGAAGAGTACTTTGTGAAAAGTTCCTGTAGTTTCATCATGACACTCATCATGCCTAGCTGTCTTGTCTTTTGTAAAAATAAGATGACTCTGATGACTGCTACTGGTACCATTACATCACTGGAGGTCATAAAATAATAGTATTCTAACTCCATCACTCATTCTTTATTTTTTGCAGGAGTATCTCTAAGAATATACACACAAAATCCTTCCTGAACTATTTTGTTACTCTGACATACAAGGCATACAAAAAAAATCGGAAAAACACTTCATTCATTACCATCAACACTGCCTTTGATAATTGTTGGCTGGTTTTCTTTGGGAGAGATATTAAAATCTTTGATGTGTTAAAGTATCATTAATATTGATATTTCTCCATATTTATAATTAAACTTATTTTAAACCAATGTTTACACAGAATATTGTCAAATAAGTTTCCCTTTCAGCATCAAAGGTAACAAATTTCAAATCTTTTACAAGTCAATTTCATCTATTACTATGTCTATTCTACTTTTGTATACCTTCTATTTTACATAGAGTTCATGTTTGTCACTGGTTGTTTTCTCAAATTTTTACTTATCATCCAATCTATGTTCAACTCCCCATTGGTTACATAAATCTCTTTTTAATAATTTAGTGTATGAGATATTTTTTCCATTTGAAATAATGAATATGCTTTCTGCAGTTTTCAGACCATATCCAACCCAGTCTTTTGATTTCCCTTATGTGGTAGGCTTGTGCTTCTATGGTTTCCCTTATGTGGTAGGCTGTGAATTTCTCATACCTTTTCTGTAGTGTACATTAATTCCTGGCCTCCTTATCTACATTTTCTTTGGTTTGCTTCCTCATTTTGATGTAGTAAATATTGTGTAGTATATGCTTGAGAAAGAACATATAGGAAACCAAGTTTTAAAACTTGGATGAGAGCATTTTCATTCCATTCCTACGCTCAGTGTATAATTAAATAGAATTCTAGCTTGAGACTTATTTACCCCTAGACATTTGTACACTTTATTCCATTACTTTTGACCTATGAGGCTGACGTTAAAAGCATTGATGGCATTCTGATCCTGGCCTTTTGAATATGAACATTTTATTCTTCTCTGCAGATTTAAGGTACATCAAATATCTGTTCACAAGGTTCTGAAATTTAGTAATAACATGCTTTGATGTAGGCAATTATTTGTAGCTTGAAAATAGATGTTCTTCAGTTGTAGGACATATAATTCATCATTCTTTAATAATCTCTTCTTCTGTATTTTATTATTATACATTTCCTGGGCTAATTAATTTGATGATGTCTGTGTCTGTATTTATGGTGTATGTTTGTATGTGTATGTCTCTGTCTGCACATGCATGTGCATACATTTTTCTCTCTCTCTCTCTTTCTGTGTGTGTGCATGCCTATATGTCCATAAGGAGGACAGAAGAAAACAAAGGATGTCCTTCTTTATCACTCTTCACTTTATTCTCTTGAGATAAAGTTTCTCACAAAACCTAGAACTTGACATTTCAGTTACACTAGCTGCCCACTGATCTCTGAAGTTACAGGAATGCAGATTTTTTTTTTATGTGAGTGCTAGGGATTTGAACTTGGGTCCTTCTGCTTGCATTTCAAGTGTTCTTCTCCACTGATTAGTATCTTCAGACCTTAATTGGATGTTGCACTATCTTAATTTTCCCCTTAATTTTCTTATCTTTTAATTTCATAGATAAAATATTCTCTTTTTCAGATAATATTAATGAAATTCTCTTCTTTAAAGTTTTCTTGAATTTACAAACTTGTTTTTTTTTTCTCTCAACACTTTTATTGTTTATATGTTATATGTTGGTCTCTAACTTTCAAGATACAAGCTTTCCTCAAAAGATTGCTGTCTTTGGTCCCCTGAGCTCCGTCGTCTGTGCCACTGCCCTTACTGCCTTCCCAAGGGGGCCTACTGGCCCCAGGAACATACAGGTTAGATCCCTCCATCCAAATACCCTGCTTGCTAGGTCTCCCTGGGTCACAGCCAGCATCTATGAACTGTGGTCTGTCCCCTGAACCCCATCATCCAGGCAACAGATCTGC